AGGAGAAGGAGAAGGAGAAGGAGAAGGAGAAGGAGGAGAGGAGGAGAAGGAGGAGGAGGAGAAGGAGAAGGAGGAGCAGGAGGAGAAGGAGGAGAAGGAGGAGAAGGAGGAGAAGGAGGAGAAGGAGGAGAAGGAGGAGAAGGAGGAGGAGGAGGAGAAGGAGGAGAAGGGAAAGGGAAAGGGAAAGGACAAAGGAAAGGAGAAGGAGAAGGAGAAGGAGGAGGAGGAGAAGGAGGAGAAGGGAAAGGACAAAGGAAAGGAGAAGGGGAAGGGACAGGGACAGGGGAAGGGACAGGGGAAGGGACAGGGACAGGGGAAGGGACAGGGACAGGGAAAGGGACAGGGACAGGACAGGGACGGGACAGGACAGGGACGGGACAGGGACGGGACAGGGACAGGGACGGGACAGGGACAGGGACAGGACAGGACAGGACAGGACAGGGATGGGATGGGACAGGACAGGGACGGGACAGGGACGGGACAGGGACAGGGACAGGGACAGGGACAGGACAGGACAGGACAGGGACGGGACGGGACAGGACAGGGACGGGACAGGGACAGGGACGGGACAGGGACAGGGACGGGACAGGGACAGGGACGGGACAGGGACAGGGACAGGGACAGGACAGGACAGGACAGGGACGGGATGGGACAGGACAGGGACGGGACGGGACAGGACAGGGACGGGACGGGGACGGGGATGGGGCCAGGGACAGGACAGGACAGGACAGGACAGGACAGGACAGGACAGGACAGGACAGGAAAGGAAAGGAAAGGAAAGGAAAGGAAAGGAAAGGAAAGGAAAGGAAAGGAAAGGAAAAAGATCACAGCTGTAAACAGAATTCTTGCCGGTATCTATTCGGTGACTCTGAAGTATGCAACTCCTGAAGCCTGACGTACACCATACTCGAGCACACATTACGAGGCATGACTGTGCACCTATCTCTTTCTTTTTTTAAAGAGAAAAAGAATAAAACAAAATTTCAAATCAAGATAACAGGAGGGTAACAATGGTTAATACATTGCATACTGTTATTTTTAAATTACTCAAGAGTACAAAATACAAGCATTTAACTGTCTGAACAATATTAGCACAAACCTTTTTATTGTCTCTGTCTTAACTATAGGGCAGTGAGTGGTCCTGGTTGGCTGTAACCGTCTCGATTGGGCACTGAAAGCCCCGTACCCCAAGAAAGGCATCAGTCTTAGGCAAATCAGAACAGGTAGGTACACTGTCTCTATTTATTCTTCTTGGGGAGAAAGAGTTTGACCTCTTCCAGGTCAATTCCAGGTTAATTCCAACCTCTTCCAGGTTAATTCCAACACAAGAGGTGATTTTTTTTTTAAAAGAAAATGGCTTTGAACACCACCCTGGCTTACATCATTCCTCCTGTTCTGACAGAAACTGATGTTAAAATGGTAGGACTTACTCTTTAAGCACTGAGAAAAAAATTAAAAACATTCAATTAAGAGTTTGCTGCTCTAATCACCAGCTCTTGTTTTTCTTAAAGTCTGATATTTAAGAATCTGAAAACAATGTTCTGCACTTTTCATACTATGCCAAACTATAATGTTCCTAAACCCTACACTGTAATTTACTAGACAAAGCGCAGAGAAAAAACTCGTATGTGTACTTTGACACACTGAAGATTTGAGACTTGGGTGATGATTAGATTGCTGCACAAGATGGGAGGCAATGGAATGCACCACACAACCAGGAGTTAACATGTGCAGAGCACGCCCCCTACTGCTGGAACACAATGATACAATGGAACAAAGTAATCAACGCACAAGTTTCTTATGTTTTTCTCTTAATTTGCCCTGTATGATTGGCTCACACATTCTAGTACTGGCAATAACACTACACCAGACTCAAAAAACTAAAAAAGGAAAAGAGAATTGTGCGAAGTTCTATCAAATACTAGAGCAATGGTTCTTTTCTTTTTCAATTTTTTTTTAAAACGTTCTCACTACAGAGTACAGGCTATACTTGAACTCACTATGTAGCCCACCTTGGCCTTCAACTCAAGTGATCCTCCTGCCTCAGCCTTCCTAGTGCTGTGATTTCAGGTATGTGCCACCACACCTGGCTCTAGAGCAATAGTTCTTAATGGAAATTATATGTTACATTTATTTCATGAGATTTTAAAGACAATGATGCTCAGAGCTGCTTCCCGAAGTTCAGCTATAATGGGTTTATATTGCGCCACAGCAGCTATATTTTTTCTACAAGCTTCCCTGGTGAGCTAGTACACACTGTCTAAAACACAAAGAAGGTCAGGATACACACCACTGAAAAACACAACTCCATGCCTTACCTGTGCCAAGTCGACACTACAAAGTTTCTGATATTTCCCAAGCTGATAGGCCCTCCAAGAATTTCTTTGAGCTGCTCATGGCTGTCGGAGTAAGAGGTCGTCAGGGGAGAGACAAAGATGGGGTAGCCAATGGGCTGATCACAGGATGAGTTTATCATGTTTCGTAGAGCTTGCTTTGCATTCTGGATGCTACCTCTCTCTGGGTTACGGTTCCGAAGAAACACAAGTTCCTGCTGTTGCCCAGCCCAAAGACCTCGGACACATTCCTTGTTCACCTGGAAACCAAAACACACGAGAGCCAGTTAAGAGGCCAAGAATACAATTCAGAGAAAGAGAAGAACAGAAGTGAGAGTGATACAAAAGACAGTGCTATGAAAAGCTGGAAAAAATATGAGTAGACCACATCTGAAAAGGAATTAACCACACTGTGCCTTTGTTATTGGTGCACTGTTAAGTAAGAAGCACCTACAGAGTCCTACTCTGCCCCATAAAAATACCTTGTACAATGAGAAGCAGCATCTTTTCAAGTTGGATGTCAGCTGATTAAATGATGTTGATAAAAATAAATCATTATAGACTACCCAAATAAAACAGAAACTAAGCCCCCTAAAGCTCTGAGATATTTAGGTACACACATCCCCTGGGAAAAGTTAGAGTGAATCATTTATAGTTAGCACTATTAAGCACAAATTATGCTATTGTTTTGTACCCTAGGAATCACAATATATATATTAGCAATACCGTGCTGATTTTTTAATAGATGCTGCCCCAATTGCATACATAACAGATAAAAGACCTGACATACACTGGATAAGAGGTGCCAACACTGGAGTAAACAAAAAGCCTTTATAGCACCTGAGAAAACTTCAGAGAACAGAGTAAAACACTGACTATGCAAGTAAATTAAGTAGACAAGAAATGCTAAGGTAGTATGGTCCTTTTGTTTTCTGTAAAAAGTTTCAATCACTGTAAAAAAAGGAATCAAGTTATCCAACTTTTTTTTAGACACAAACAAATGATTACAAAACTCACCTTAATGACTCTGAAACTCAGGTAGCGTCTGTTGAGCATGATGATCTTGTACTCATTGGTGCCATCATCCATGACGTGCCGCAGGGCAAGCAGGGAGGGGGAGTTGGCAAGGACTGCGCTCCGCCACGCGGGGTCCCCTTCGTGGGCGATCACAAGGTTCTTCTCGTGTGACACGATGGCTTCATAGAGCACAGTGGGGTCGTCGTACTCATCTGGGGAAGTGAAGTGATCCTACACAGAGAAATATAAAGTATCTGTAGTTTTTATAGGAAAAAAAGACTTCTATGATAACTCCTATCAACATATTAGTATTATTAGGAGTAAAATTACAGCCTTAATTATAACCAGGCTGGGAATTGCTATACTAGCTTTGTGAACATTTAATCTTATTCAAGTATTTCCTTCCATGGAGCTTAAAATGTGAACAATTCTGAAGTTTTAAAGAATTTTAATCTGAGGTCATTATCTTTTCCTTTTAAATGCACTGAATTCTGCCTTAAAACTTTAAAGTCAGTGTAAATAAGGACAACTCTATTTGACCTCAAATGAGTATTTCCCCCATTGTCTTCAAAATAGAATTCCATTTTCAGAGGTTTTCAAATATCCTTCCACTTATTAGTAATGCTCCTGAAGAGTATGGGATGTTAGTATAACTCTAATACTTTAGATTGTGGAGTCTAAATTCTTTAGAATTGCAGATTGAAGAATAATGCACTTTTTATTCTGTGACAAAAGCACCCATCAGACCTGGGCACAGCAAACCCATTCACCACCTGACCCTACCATCCACGCTGATAACTGGAGTCGAGTACAATGATTCAAGGATCTCAAGCACTTCTTTTTTATTTTCTTTTTTGAGATGGGACCTTACTACATAGCCCAGGCTGGCCTTGGAGCGGCCCTCCTGCCATCAGCCTCTCGAGTGCTGAGATTACAGGTGCATACCATCATGCCCGCTTCAAAATACATTCTTGAAATGATCTAGGATTTGGAATGTACTGGGGCTCTCATTTTGATTGTACTGCCCTACTAGGATTATTTAATGAACGCTCAATCTGTCCTAACCTACTATTGTTCTATGTAACACAGCAAACAAAACACACAGCTTAGTAACAGCAGCACTTACTCCACTCCTAGGCATTAATTACTCTGCATGTGGAGTTTGCAGGCCTTCACTCAGGGAAGAGGTATGAGTTATAATCACATAAAGTTAAGTATTACAGGGGTCAAAGACCTTATTTTCAACTTGTCACTGCCTAAGTTCATAATCAGATTGGTTACTCTCTAATATTAGTAATCAAATTTACTATTTAAAACGCACGTTCTGCTTTTCAAGATTTACTGTCTTCCATGAACCACAGTTCTCTGGTGCAGATAAGAGCTCTTCTCTGCTAAAAACATTCAGCAGAAGTCAAATGAAGAAGTAGCAGGTGCACTCTACTAATGAATTAAAGAAAAACACTCATCTTCTTACCTGATGAAGTTTAATGGACATACGAATTCCAGGGACTACTACTTTTCTCAGCAATTCCATGTCAGCAAAGATCCATTCATCTCGGATTGAAGAAATACGGAAATCTCCTTTAAACAGGGCATGCAATCCATAGAGGAATGACTCTAAATTACTGTTAAGATTGGAGATAAAAGTTCACATATTTTGGCAACATGTTCATGACACTGATTCTTACATCTGGCTGTGCATCAGAATCATCTGGGAGTGTTTTGAAAATACAGATTCCAGAAATTCAGGTCAGAACTCATAAATCAGAATCGTAAGAGGTCCCTGTTTGACCTGTGATCTTTGTGAGCCACTGTTAAACAGTGAATCCATGAAAAGAAATAGTAAAGAGCCCATAAGTTAAAATAAACTAAGCAGTCCAATGTAAAACATATGATTACAGGAGGAATTTAAGATATGAACTTCTTGGGGCTGGGGATACAGCTCAGCAGCACCAGCGCTTGACTGCAAGCCCAATGTACTGAGTTTGATTCCCTGTACCCCCCACAAATATGAACTTAATTCTATCTCATTTGGATATTTGTCAGGAAATTCAGTTTACTTAGAGTCCCAAAATCTAATACACAACTACATTAAAAATATGAATGCACTGGACAAAGAATACAAAATGAAAAAATAAAAGCAGGTGAGTATGTTAGGAAAAATATACATTATAGATGAGAGGTAGATCAAACTTCGTAAGGTGATAATACCGTAAAATGTCTTATATACACAGTATCGTTAGCAGCAGCTATTCACACACGTGAATTTTAAAAGACAGTTCTGTTAACCACTTAGTAGAACTCAATCATGTTCAGCAAAAAGAGCTACAAAAAATGAAACTGAAGAAGACACTGGCAATGAAGTAATGAAGCCTCTATTAAAACAAGTTTCACACTTAAATTTGGCTTTCTATACTTTCTGAAAAACAGAAATGCTTGTTTACCTGGACATATGGTGGGATGCAGTTCCCAAAGCTCTCCGTCCCAGAACACAGAGTCCATAACACAGAGTTACCAGGGATGAATCTTTGTCCACATCCAGTGGCTTTAAAAAAACCAAACAATAGCTATCAGAAAAAACATGTACATATTTAAGAGATTGGGAGATATATAATCAATAAATCAGAAGGAGGAAAAAGAACTCAATTAGTACACATTGAGAGAAGAAAAGGATAAATTTTTATTTCTGTGCAATAAACACTACTTTAGAAGAAAACTGTGGAAGGAAAGTATGAGGCTGCTTCTTAATACTCTGGTGAGGGTCCTGGGGGCTGGAGTCAGCAGATCTCATCCCTAGGCAGAGGTCACTCTGGGAATGGTGACTCAGAGAGCAGAATGCACCACTGAAGGTGGTGGGATGATCTTGTTCAAAAAACAACAACAACAAACTAAGAACCTAAAAAGAAAACCGAGCAGATGACAGAGTATACAGCTGGAAAAATGCTACCAACAGTTTTCTTCTAAAGGGATAATAATGAATAGAACATATATGAGGCTGACCTAGTGATAACAGGTTCTCTGAAGAGACTGGGGATACTTATGTTTACCGGTAAACCTTTTAAAGATATGATATGTCAGCAACCAGTGGGCTTTCTTGAGCTAAGTCCATGACTTCAGTAATAATCTCTAAGAGAAGGGTCTTTAAATTTAGGTATGCAAAGTCCTGCTCTGAATGAGTAGTGAGCTCAATATCATCTAAACCAGAGAAGGGCTATTAGAATAATAGGACCACTCCTCAAATCCCTCAAAAAGAGAGAGAACAAGCTTTGAGAACAGTATCCCCAAGGAATTGAGAACAGTATCCAAAGCATTTAAATGTATTTCTTTTATGAAAAAATAAAACTGGTTGTTATATATTTGAAAGAAGTTAAACTTTGTTAACCTTCTCTATATCTAGATATTGCTTGTTGATCTTTCTTTGAGCCTCTCAGGTTATTTCATTCTACTTACTGTTACTTCTATAAAAATATGCTATCCCGATCAGTGCTATGTTGCACATCCAGTACAACAGTTTGAAAGAAATACTCAGAGAGGAAGTACAAAGATTCCCTCCCATTCTTACAGATGAAGAAAAGATGAAAAATGCTGACGTGACAAGGTGCCTTAAAGTGCACGAAAAGTAAGGACTAAACCAGGTCTTGGCTCTGAAGATGACCAGTGTGTACACCCCAAACCGTGACAGAAGCACTGGTTGTTAAGGTGTCTCACTATGCTACACGGTGTCAAGGAAACAGGGTGCTGCTGATTCACATACCCAAGGCGACTGCTTGGAAAGCAGCACTGGTAGTAGGAAGGAGCTCTAATCACAGCCCTTGGTACTGGGGTTATGTTACGCGAAGTCTGTGGCAATGCTATGAGAGTCCTAAGACCTTGGAGGAAGAAACAGTTGCCAAAGTCTGTAATTCACCTTACTTTTAGGATAAGACAAGTTGTTCTAATAGAGACATTGGATAAAGACATACCTGAATTAAAATCACCCAGGAAGACTCACATTTTATATCCCCAGCCTAGACTTAAGGAATCGGAATGTTCAGGTAAGACCAAAGAATCATTTGTGCTAGTCTAGGTCATTTTTTAGTTATAATATTGAAGATTCTATGGTCTAGATGTATAGTATGTAAATACAGTAGCCACTAGCCATAGCAGTTATTATATTTAAATCAATTAAAATTAACCAAACTTAAAGTCTGATTCTTTGTTCTTGGCCACATTTCAAGGGTTTACAGCCAAATGTGATACTAGACAGCACAGGATACTCTCATCACCACAGGAAGTTCTAACAGACAGCACAGGTCTACACTTTGTATTTAGGACAAAGATTCTCAACAATTCTTAACTTTGGTAGTAGCCCGTAAGAAGGACTAGATTTAGAGTGATGTGTGATTTAAATTTGTGTATATACATATTCATGCATAGGATGGAAAAGTGCTGCCTAGACAGTGGGATCAGAGCACCCCAAAAGAACTGAGGAGAGGTCACTTCCCTTAATCTGTTTTGGCAGTGTTGGTCTGGCCCAATTGTGAGGACCCAGACAGGTTCTCTAACCTAGAAAACCAGAAAGAAACAGCTCAGGAAAAACTGACTTCAGAATAACTAACAAGGATATTCTTTCCAGCTTTGGAAATAACTGGATTCAAAGTGCTGCAAATGAAATAAACCAAGCCTACCTTTGCTCTCCGGGAAGAGCAGTACTCTATCCAGTTAAGGTAAATCACACAGAAACTCTCCCTGGATATGCCTGCCAGCCGATGGTCATAGTCTTCATCAATGTTTGGATTAAATGTTGGATCTACATCAACATAATTTCGATCTGCGCACAGACGAAGTCCTTCCTGCATTGTCTCATTAGCCAGCCACTCTTCTAACTTAGAGGAGGTTGTAACATAGTAAATGATACCCTAATGTGGAAAAGAATTCAGGTTAGAGCACATTTTGAACGAACTCCAACTCCTCAGTGAAATAAATTCCAACTGGTTTATAGATAACTCAAAATAGTTTATTTTAGCTCAATACTCTATGTATATATTTTAAGAATGCTATGATATACCTTAGGCCTTTTTGGATAAAAAAAATTTAACACTTTAAAATCACAACCATAAAATTACCAAGGCAACTTGTATCCTACTGATTTTAGTGCTTCTAAATTTAGGCTACTGTAAGAGAGAAAAAACATTGACTGTACTGAATTAATTTTGAAAAACTTTTTATAGAAAGTTATGAAAACCATCTGGTATACCTACGTCAAATTATGGGAATATAGCTAATCATAAAGCAATGAAAATATATAAATTTAGAACTACAGACAGAAAAATGACATACACACAGAGATAAAAAAATGTAAAATCAATCTCACTAGCTTCCTGTGCTGGGTTTAATCAAACAGTGAAAGGAAGGCTCAAATACAGTGGTACTTAGAGGTAACATCATAAAATATGGAAATTTCAGATGAGGGTCATTAAAGCTTACCACACACTTCCTCTGAAAAATACTGGCTTTGCCTAGAAGTTCCCCAGATCACCACTGTGTTGCATTTTCTTAAGACCTTTCACAAATATGGAATATTTTGTGTAGTAAATGATTAATTCTGCCCAATGAGAGCTCTGACCTTTGTCCTTAGATCTTGGAAAGTAATTCTAAGCCTTTGAAATGTGCCGCTTACTAAGAAAAACTTTATGCAGCTGAGACCTACAGTCCCAAGCTATCAATTTGACCCTGAAAAGGCCAAGAGACTTGAGTTTTCTATGTGGGTGGCCCACCATGCCTGCATGACTGCACTCCAATCAAGATGCAGGACACCAAGCTCAAAAGAGCTTCTTGGTCTGGCAATACTCTGTGAATACTGCCACATCGTGATGCTCAGAGAAATAGGCATCTATATAATTCCACTGGGAGAGGACATTTGGGAGCTCCTTACCAGGATGTTTCTGCACACTATTCTTGGCTGAGTTTAATCTGTATCCTTCCACTGTAAGAGGGATACAATGTGAGCATAATGGCTTTGCTGAGTTCTGTTAATCCTTCTAACAAATTCTTAAAACTATGGATGGTTTTGAGGACCCCAAAACTGCAGCTGGTGTCAGAAGCGACGGTGTTTCTGAACTTTGCCAAACTTTGAGTCAGTTTGCAAAGCACTACAAAACAGTAGTTAACAGCAAGGGCCTAGGAGTCAGACACTTCTCACCTTTAAATCCCAAACTTCACTTGGTATTTAGAGGATCTTTAGCAAATAAGCTTCTGATACTAAGTTGATTATTTGTTAAACAGGGAAGTAACACTTCTTTAGAGAATTAAGATACACACAGTTTACTATGCATGTGTATTTGATACTCCTTAGCATAGTGCCAAAACATAAAAGCTTTCAAAAGCTAGCTATTATCATTAACAAACAGAACAAGTTTCACTACAGCAACAGCAAGACTTTTGTAAATACATTTTTACTAACTTTTCTGCATACTGGGGAATTTAAATCAATACTTAGAAGCAAAGCATATGTTCAAAAGTGTGCATGTGTATGTCTTCCTCAAGGAATGGCTAGATTTGAAAAGTTCAGATTCGTTTTTCTGAGTAATGATTCCAAAAGCTACCAGTGCTTTCTGAGTGCCCCAGCTGCCACTGTGCTGTATACATTTCTTCACCCCTCCAAGGCAGGTGCTACTTGTCTCCATTTTGTACATGAGGAGAGGCTCAGAGGTCCAGAATCTCACCTAACTTCCTGCAGCTGCAGTAGAGCTGCCATTTGGTCAGGTCTGACTCTGTTTTTTTTGTTTTTGTTTTTCTTCCGGTACCAGAAGTCGAACTCACAGCCTTGCACTTGCCAGGCAGGCGCTTTTGCCACTGAGCTAAATCCCCAGCCCCGGTCAGGTCTGACTCTGAAGCCCATGCTTTCTAGAAGGTTCTCTTGCTGCCTCATCAAACAACTTTTTCTTTGTAGAACTGCAGCTCTTCAAAGGAGTCTGTCTACAGAGATTTATATTGAGCCTATGAAATAGCTATGCTAGGGATTTGTGTTTTCTTCCCCCAAATAAACATTCTTACTACTCTTTTTGATAAAGCAACTGTTTTATCATTTGGACTTAAATAAGACACCTAACTCCAGTGTAGCGTATGCTATTAGTGGGTTGTGGGATTCTCAATTTTTAAAAATCAAGGACTACATATAAACCACAGGCTTTGTGCCAGTCAGTCTCCCGGACCCTTAAATGTATGTGGTACATAACACACACTCTTAGAACTAACAAACAGGCATCCTCTTACAGTCACGTTAGGATTTAAAATGGAAAGCGGATTTGTTTTTCCTGCTGTATCCTTGCTTTCAACTGAAGCTTTAAACACTTCTCAGTAGTTCAAAACACGTTAGGGATAAGCACATTTTAAAAGACGTTTTCTAGCCCTGAATTTTATGACCTCGGTTAAGAACTTTGGGCTAAGGAGAGGGCTGGTTGAGGCCATTATGAAGTGGGAGAATCAGCGTTTTAAACACCTGAAACATAAAAGAACACCTTTTTTTCCTGCCTGCTGTTTGTAAAAGCTCTCTGGGAGGATCTTTTATGAAGATCAAGTTTTTTTAATGTAACTTACCTACCTAATGTAAGTGGCCTAAGACATGTATGTAAACCTCCAAAACTATTTTGTCTATGTATTTAGAAAATACACAAGAATCTTCATCAAACCTAAAAATATAAACTTGTGAGCACTAAAAAAAAAAAAAAAAGAAGAAAAGAAAAGAAAGGAAAGGAGCGCCTAAATTATCCAAAGCTGTATGTAGGCACATACCCTTACCTTGACGTAGTAAGTGGTGAGCACTTTCCGAAGATCAAAGACCTGAAGCATGGAAGCCGCGCTATTATCAGTGATGCTATAGCCCTCCAGAATATACTTAGTAACTATCACTTCCCAAGCTAGCCAACGCTGGCTGAAGGCAGCATTAAATGAAAGTACGTGAGGAATATGGCCAGGTTCACAACAGCAAAATCCTTCATCTTCTTCTACCCCTTCCGTAATAGCTTCCACTTCCCGTTGTTGACAGTAAGTACCTTTCAAAAAGCGAGACAGAGCCATTACAAAGTGGGGTAAAACAGAAAACGGGGAAATCAATGCCTCTAGGACAGAGGTTTAGAAAAAAAGGACACATTTCATAGCAGTTAAAAGTATGTGACTGCTGTGCTTTAGAATATGCACTACCAAATGGTAGCGAACCCCAGAAACTGGCTGGCTGCATGCTCACTGCTGTAGAATCACAACATACATTAGCACATTACAGTTCTGGGAATTCATGCAGTGACTCAATTTTTTTAAAATTAAGTTTATTGGTACATTTTAGGTACATATAATGATCACAGGCATCATAGGGAATTTGTACCTGTACATGATACACCTTGATTCTTCTCTTCCCCCATTTCCCTACCCTTCCTTCCACTTCAACCCCTCTTCCTCTCCTTATATATTTTTTAAAAAATTGTCTATTATAGTTTATTAGTACACGTGTATAGTGCAGCACATTCACAACCCTAACGGGAGGCTGGCACACGCGCGTGACACACCCTAGCTCCCTTTCACCCTGCCCCCCCACCTCCTGAGGCCCTCCCACTTCCTGGTGCATGTTCGCAATAAACACGGCTTCACTCCTTGTGTGGAGCTGGCACAGGCGCAGACACACCCCCGTCCTCGCCCCCGTCCCCCCCCCACTCCCCTCCCCCTCTGAGAAAGCTCAATCTCCCTGTCTCCTATCATCTGTCTTTTATTTTGCTTTTTATTTTTACTCAGCTTCTCATACAAGGAAACCATGTGACTCACAGATTTCCAAATGAAATGACAGGGCCTTCATACAAATGAAGGCCAAGTGAGTAAAGCTACATCTCCCGAAGATTCAGTTCAAAAAAAGGACAGTGGAATGAGAGCTGAATCACTGCAGACGGACACGACACAGACACATGCACAAAGTGCAGTGTGAGCTCCAGCACAAGTACCACGTCCATGCTTCCAGTAGAAACACTGTGTGTACCGGTAACTTGTAAAAGTTCATCATAATTTATTTTATTTCACTTTTTCTTTTTTTATTTTAAAGAGAGAAAAAAACAAAAACGAGACATAATTTCAAAACAAGGTTATAGGACATTAACAATGGTTATTATATTAATTATTATTATCTTCAAAGTAGTTGCTCAGATTACCCGATACAGGCATGCAAAATTAATCAAACAATATAAGCACTAACTATTCATTATAATTTAATATTCAATACGTAAGTACAAAATTTTTACATTTGTGAGTCTAACAATGGTTGGTACGATTACATTATTGTCACTGCAGATTTACCTGTTGATGTAATTTTAATTAGGTACTGGGTCTTATTATTCTGCACTGGCAAAGAAATCTTTGACATTTCTTTTATACAAGGTATTTACCAAATAGGCATTCTTTGCACTAGTGTTACAGAAGTAAATGCACAAAAATAGATTAAATGTAGAATTAGAATCAAAGCAATCAAGTGTTAGCCAAATATCTTTTCCATTAATGTTAATTTTTATTTTGTTCTGTGGTCTTTCTGCCATCGAATTTGCAAATTTCCTATATTATGTAAAGGCTATAATGCAATTATCTTAATTATATATAGGCACATATTTAGGTTTTTTTTTGTGCATGATAGCTTCTTTTACTTTAAACATGAAAGAATGAGAACATACTAACAGACATAAATGTTTACAAAATAACACAAAAACAATATAAGCAACACAGAATTTCAGACAAGGTGATAGGAAAATAACAGTGGTTGTTGTATTACATATTGATATCTTAAAATTGGTTACTCAGATAAACAAATATAGGCATATATGGTTGATGAAACAAACATTAACTGTTCCTTTCAATAAAACAATGGAAATCAGTGGTACAACTATCTTAGCTATCGCGTGTATACACATATACATATTTTTTCCCTTCTTTCTTTCTTTTTTCTTTTCCATCATCCCAGTTTATTTTTTTCTTTTAAAGGGAATTTTGGGGGGGCACGGGGGAGACTATCTTGCTATGCAGTTCATGCTGGCCTTGAACTCACTATGTAGCCCAGGCTGGCCTCAAACTTGCAGTGATTCTCCTGCCTCAGCCTCCCCAGTGCTGGGATTACAGGTGTGCACCACCACGCCCGGCTAGACTATGTATATTTAAAAACTATTGTTTTGAGAGAAATAAATGGTAGTGGTGTTACAATGAAAGACAAAGCTAAAGAGATTAACCTGGCCAAGCTAATGAGCTATATTGTTTAGCAGTGTAGAACACTCCCAACAATTTTATTATTTCCTTTTCTTGTTTAATTACATTGGCTAAAATTTCTAACATCATGTTTCTTTTGGTAACAAGAAAAATCCTTGTCTTGAACCTCCCAATCACAGGAATACATGTAGTGGTTAACTATTGTACTATACAATACTCACTACAGATAGGCATACACTTACATATTTCTCAACATAATGTATGCAATCTTATAAATGACCTATTAAAGCAATAATGGAGATAAAAGTTAACCAAGTGTTTTCTGGTATCTTGAGATAATCATACTGTTTTTCTCCTATGACCTTTCAAATAGAAGTCTGCTATTTGTTTTCTAATACTTAAATTCAAAAATTAAAGACAGCTGAATTTGTGCAGGATTTTTTTTTTTTTTTTTTTTTTTTTTTGGTACAGGGAATTGAACTCAGGACCTTGTGCTTGCCAGGCAGGCACTTGTGCCACTGAGCTATATCCCAGCCCTTATGCAGGGTATTTTCAAAAAGCACTGCTACATTCTGCCTATTCTAGAATTGAAGAATTCTGCATGTAGAGTTATAAGTAAAATTCAACTAGTTTTTCTATGTTAGCTTATTCATATTTTGGTATCAGTACGACATCAGTTTGTAGCAGCCTTGAGAAGTCTGCTTTCTTTGTCCATGTGGTAGCACAAGTCAGAGTGCAGAACAATCCAATTTCTAGAAGAAGTGTCCTAAATTTGGTTTGTTGTTATTGTTTTAATTGTGGCATCAAATCTATCCCTTTGGTTTTATGTGTTATTTTATTTTATTGGTTTTGTTTTCTCTTCTGGGAAGCTGCTGAAAGGTTTTTTAATGGCAAAATAACACAATGAGAGCACCAGTCACTACATACTGCACCGGTCACTGTGTTGCTGGTATGTAAAAGACGGCTACAACTAGAAGGAATTTGGAAGTTATGACAATGACTCTGTGGAGGTCTTTGTTTAGAGCAGCAGAATCAGGTGACTGGGGTAACTGAATTAAAGGAGAATATTTTCACTCTACCACATAACTCTCCTAAGACTTTACCACCTCAATATACCCTACTAATATATTTTTCTTAGAAAATGCAGTCACCAATAAGCATAAGAATTAGGATTAGTAATTGTAAAAAGCGTTCTGAGGCTTGGGAAGTGAAGTGATTCTACACTATCTGTGAGCAACTACTGCCACTTGTTTCCTGCCTGAGCTGTATCTTTCAGCCACTTAGTGCATTTTACTAGTAAAAATAAGTATCAATCATGACAACCAGACGTGTCAAAATTAGTCTGAGCAAAGAGCGCAAGGTATTCAATCAACACAACAAATTTTTGACATGTAAAATTTGATCTGGAAAATGTTCTTAGTAGAAGTAACACAAAAAGCTTGGTGGAAGCTATAATCAAAAAATGCTGATATAGATAATAAATTGCTAATACATTTTTTTCACATAAAATTTACATGGAAAAGAATCTTGATAATACTGGTACAAAAGAAATGGAAACAAAAAATATGAGCAAGTTTAACTAAGATCAATAGGAAAAGGCTAAAAAAAACCCTGTTTGACCTAAAGAAAAACAACTCAAGATGACGTCAATATTTGAGCAAGAATATAATCATATCTCATGAGAGTCTTGGGATTAAGAGGAGGAAAAAAGGCTTCCATTATTTAGTCAGTCTATGAAACTAACAAAACATTTATTATACACTGACTGCTATGTGATGTAGGTGCTGATAAAAAATGATGCTAAGACAAACGTGACTCCTGCCGTTTAAGGACCTACACTCTTTTTTAAGGACCTA